AATGGCTATGTCACTGAACTCCCATGTAGTCTACCACGGTTCAAGTTCCGGACCCAGTGGCTTAAACTTCTTCTGGACATCTCCTGTGCGTGCCCAGGATCCCGAGAGGAGAATGGAGGAGAAAGGATTACGGTGTGGCCATCTCCCCCGGGGGGGCGGTGATTTCTTGCTTTCTCTCTGTTTCTCTCTGTCTTTCTGTTGAGCGCACATGCCCTATAGCAAAAAAAAAAAAGAAACTTCTCCAAAAAAAAGAAGAAAGTCATGTTGATGAAGATAGTGGAATAGTAAAGTCATGTTAATGTATACAGTAAGCTATGGGTGTGGCAGGTTTCGGTTCCCACATGCAATGCCTGAGCCTTCAAATTATATAAGAATTAAGGATAGGTTTCCATGAATGGTAACAGCAAGAAAGGAACCAAGCTCATAGGAATTGTTCACTTGAAGTAACTCATTTTCTACTTTAACTAAAAGAAAAAAAAAATTCTAACTCTATATCCTCACGGTACATGTCTTTTCTTTACCAAATATTTAAATAGCTTTTATGCACATTCACTTTAATGAAGTGATAAAAGTTTATATTGTATTTACATACTTGGGAAATGGAACACATTGTGTTTAGAATATTTGTTTTCAGTGTCTTTAAAATTACAATTATATCCCAATTATAGAACAACTTTGTAATTCCAATCACTTGCCCCTACAAGGAAACAATATTTGTATGTGAATATATATATTTATACACACATACACACACACACACATATATATATATATTATGTACCCATTTATTTAAACCATTAAATACCACTCATATTATTTCTCTCTTTTCTCCAGTCGAATGATAGGGACAGAAGTCTACAAAGGAGGAGAGCGAGAAATGGAGGAGGATGAGAGGGAGGGAATCAGGGGAAGAAGAAAGAAGCAAAACATTTAAGGGACCCAAAATAGAAAGAAATCTGTTGATTATAATGTTTATGGTAATGTCTTTCACTAGACCAATATACAGTGCATTCATGATGGGAAAATTCATTTGATATGCTGTAATTATACACAGTGATGTAACATATAAAAATAAGTTAATTAATTAAAAAATGAATTAGTTGAGAAAATAAATAAAAAGTGTTTTAAAATTTGAAAAGACAAGAGAGAATGTCAAAATCATAGAATTGGAAGGGATCACTAATGCAGAGTCACAAGTCACAGAAATTTAGAGCACTGCTGCAGCAGTCCCCTGGGAACACCTGCGAAGAGCGAAAGGAACCCCAGCATCCCAACCATGTGTAGGAGCCTGGTGGGACAGAACACTCACACAACAGTCAGGCAAAGCAGATTCTATATCCATAAAAAGGAAGCAAGATTAAATAGAAGCATGGGATACTTGGCTAGCCAGTCTCCCTAGACTCGGGAAATCTGCCCAGAGAAGACTAAGTCTCATCTGCACATGCCCTGCACCTGTGGGACCCCAGGAGAACCCCTCCTTGAGTTTTTACACCTTGGGCACCATTTGAGTTGCTGAGCTCAAGTATTAAGGAATGTTCTGTGCTAGGAAGGATGAGAACATAGCCTGAATTCTTCTGGACATCTCCTTATTTTAGGATGTCCCATTCTAAAAGAGTTGGTTTGGCCAAGGCCATCTGGGGACCTGTCCTCCTACAAATAACCTCAATTCAGTCCTTCTCTTCCTCTATTTTAATTAGCAATAAGGACTGTATAAAGTTTATTTTTGTGGTATATTGTATTATTCTTAAAATCTTTATATTCAATTAAAATGTATTTCCTTCTTTTGTGTTCCTTTGTTCCTTCATTCTTCCCTCTGAAACCATATAGTTACTCAATTCTTTCCACAGTTATTAGTTTTTTTCTTTTTTGTTGGTTTTAAGGTATTTTTTGCTTGTTTGTTTGTTTTTCCTGAGGTAGGCAGGCTTAGTACATTCAAGCATTCCTCCATTTCTGAGGTCTTTGGTGTATAGTCAGACCACTGGAGCTGCTCTGTCACTTTCTTAAACTATATGCTATGGGTCCACAATAAGATAGGGAGTTTTCATCATAAATAAATCAACATGCTGCTTTCCTTCACTGAGAAAAAGTTTCTATGAAAAAATAAATCTAGCTGAGTTAAATGGTGTGTTTAGTGATATAGTCTCTTTACATCACGGCATGAACTTTTAAATCTTGCCACAGGACAATATAAACTGACTAATTTGGTAGCACTGTTCACCATGATGTAATTCCTAGGCCTGTTCTAATAGTTTTTCTCTAGACCAGCCTTTGGAATACAGTCAACTTTTCCAGAGAATCTGCTCAAAATATAGTGGAAAATATTGCATTCTTATATCTGTACACTATTTGTCTTAGTTTTATAATGACCTTCAATCAAGTACAGTACTTTTTTGACAATTGATTTTATGCTGATTCCATTTCAGATTCTTGTTGAAATTTATAATCCGTCATTCCAAAGTAACAACCTACTAACTTTTAAACAAAATTTTTTGCCATAGGGTATTCGTTGTGCTTGCCAGACAGAGACAGAGAAAGAGAGACAAAGTGAGAAAGCACCCCCCACCCCATGAGGAGTGATCACACCACAGTCCCTTCTCCTTTATCTCTCCCTTCTTTAGGGATTTTGGTCATGCTCACACATGTGCCTGCATGTGTTTCAAGCTGCCAGGTCCAAGACTCAAACTATACAGTCAGCCATGTGGAATCCAGCTCCTGCAACCACAACACCATTGGCCCACCCAACAATCTACTACCTATTCTATCTGATTTTGTGTTATTGGCAAAAATGACTTATGCAGCTATTTCTGTAACACAAAAAATACCCCAAAACTCAGTCACTTAAACAACTACCCTTTTTGAAAAACTGTTTTTAGTAAGACTGTGATTCAGTCAGTTATGATATTGGCTAACCATAGATCAAGTTCTGCTGATCTTACTGGGCCTGCTAAAATATCTGTTGTGGGGGGCAAGGGTGGCGCTGATCAGTCTAGGACTACATCAGCTAAAATGATTGAGCTCCCCTCCACAGCACAAGTACCCTCTAGTGTGTCAGCTGGGGCTGGTTCTCATGGCCATGACAGGCTTCCAAGAGATATAGAAGCACACAGACCTCTGTAAGGATCAGCCCCCACCCTTAGCATAGAGCAGAGCAGAAAATGTGGAAAATGGATCTAAAAGAGGATAAAGATAAAAATAATCACCACAATGCCAATATATTCTTCCAAATTCTTCGTGAAAATTTAGAATACAGCACTGACAAATACTTTTCAGAAGACTTCAGTTGACCTTGTTTCAGATGCATTGTCCAGCAGTTTTGGAGTATGTTTTTTAACTATGAGTTTACCAATAAGTACTTTTAAAAATATATTTATTTATTTTTGTTATTGTTATTTTTAAAAATTTGCTCACCACAGAGAAAGAAAGAGAGAGAAAGAGAGTGAGAAGGCAAGCTGCCAGGCCTGGGACTTGAACCATGGTCAGCCATGTAGGAGTTCAGTGCCTTAATCACCATGCCATCTGCTAGCCCCCCCAATAGGTACTTTTATCCAGCTCATATTTTTACATTAAGTTAATAAAGTTTCCGTGAAAACTTTGGTTAAACTTTATGCTGCCCTGCAATTAAAAAATTGTGTAAATGATCACCACTATATTATTTATAATAACAAAATACTGGAAACTGCTAGAATAAATAACTTATGGTAATCCAAATGGTGTATTATATCATTTGTTGGTTTTAAATAATTGTTATCATGGGATAATTCCCCCCATTTAATGACATAATGATAAGATACATAGACAAAATAGGACTGAAATGCAAGCATCATATTTTATATATAATATATTCATAGCTTGAAATCCTAGAAGCACAATAAAAATACTGAACTTGGTTTGCTCAGAAGAGTGAGATAATAGTGATTTTTAATTTCATTTTTACTTCTTCTTACACTTTTAGTTTCCAAATTTTCTAAAATTATACATTAATTTATATCTCTGTATAATATGTATATCTGTATGATATTATACATATATTTTATATTATACATCTATGTATATAATGTATGTATATAATGCATACATATGTATATATGTATAAGAGCTGATAAATAAATATATATATATATATATATAATATCATTATTAGAAAAAAAAATGAGCATAGCATTTACATTTTTTTTTACTTTGTAATTTTCCCAGGAAGATGAAAATCACATTTCCTTGTATTTTGTAAATTAGGACATTTGTTCATTGCCAGTCTGATAGTCTCAGACATTGTAAAAATCAGAGAGAGATTTCAATCTTTGCTGTTAGCATAGCAGCTGATTTTTAATAACTATTTCATGAAAATTTGCATTTCAAAAACTTTCTGCAGCTATAATCAAAGTATGTTTCTTTTTCTATTGTATACCAAGAAGAAAGAGGATTTTATAACTATGTTTAGAACTATATGCAGTTTCTGTGTTAGAACCATAATAAGAACAAGTAATATGCTGCAGGACAGGAACGCATGGGAAAATACATGCCTCTTAGATTATTTCATTGTTTGACTTAAAAAAAACCCCTATCAGATAACTACTTTTATGTTGGTACTGACCATTTATTTATAGCCTTTAAATTATTACTAGCACTAAAAAGTAATGTCACGGCATAGCATTTAAGTCTTTCAGACTGCTTAAATAGGTGATTCAGAAGCTGGAAGAGAAATCCTGACAACACATCTAGGAAGCTTTTTCTGCAGGGAACGTGAAAGTGATTAAATCACCTACCAGACACAGCATCCACCAGAGGGATTGTGGTGGAGTAAAGGTGACCACAAATGCTTTGATATTCCTCCCATTCAGAAGTGGAATCTCGGTTAATCCTCTTAAATCTGAGTGGGCTCCGTCAATGCTTGAACACTGAGATGTGCAGGAGTGATGTTACGCTAGTTTCCAGATTCCAGCCATCTGAGACTGGCACCACTGAGTATTATTCAGTGTTTTACTACCATTTTTTCTTTTCAGGTATTCCAAAGTTGATTACATCTGATATGGTCAAGGAAGGTGCTGCTGTAATTGATGTGGGTATCAACTACATCCATGATCCAGTGACAGGAAAGACAAAATTAGTTGGAGATGTGGATTTTGAAGGTAATACATTTCTTCTAAATAGAAAAAAGGGGTTATTTTACCTTATATGTTTTGAAAGTAGAAAGCAAAACTTTCTAGTTGATGGAGTATTATTAAGTTATAAGTAATCACCTCTGTCCTCTGAAAGTAAACCATTCAATAAACTATATTTCCTTCATTCCTCCCTCTCTTTCTCTTCCTTTCTGCCTTCCTTTCTCTCTCCTTTCCTTATCATGTTATTAATATTTGATTTTAAGATCAAATTTCTTGTAGTACAGTTTTTTGGTTTTTTTTTTTTTTTAGAGATTTTTGCTATAGGGCACATGCACTCTCCAGAGAATCAGAAACCAAGAAATCACCCACCAGAGGGATGACCACATTGCAATCCCTTTTCCTCCACTCTCCTCTCAGGATTTTGGGTAGGCAGTTATACACACCTGGTATATTTAAGCCACTGAGTCTGGGACTCGAACTGTGATTTACTACCTGGGAGTCAAGTGATGTTATCTACTGATCCCTATAGTACAGTTTCTAGTGAAAAACTTCAACTGCTTTTTATAGACCCAGATATGTTCTGATTTTTTGGAGTGTCATCTTATTCTACACTTAGCCATCTATATTCTATAGCCAGTTATTCACTCGTAGAGCCAGGAGATATCTTATGATGTGTTTGATAACCCTAACTATATTTTAAATCTATACAGTTATTTGGGTAATTTTTCACTTGTATTTTAGTATTCTCATTATTATTATTGCCAGAGAGTGCATGCATAAGAGAGACAAAGGGAGGGACAAAACATGCCAATGGGACATAATCATGCCTCAGTCCCTTCTTCATTTCTCGATTCTGTCAGGATTTGGGGCATACTTGCACGTGCATCGTGTCTATTTCTGGGCACATGAATCAAACTGTGGTTGCCATGTGGGATCCGGCTCTCTTGACCCCTAACCTGTGAGGTTGGCCCACTTGCAGTTTAAAGAGAGTGAAGAAGAGGAATTAGGCTCAAATTTCTATGGGCAATGAAGGATATAATGCAGTTAATCTGTCCTAGTAACAAAGCAAACAAAACTAATTCTAACCTAATTACTTCTTTTTGCAGATGAGAAAACTGAGCCCCAAGACACATTTTTCTAGATGCCTGGCCCCTAATCCAATTTTGTTCCCAATATCTTTGTCAAAACATTTAATGTTTTAGGATTGCCTAGAAGACTTAGATGTCTATGAAGGCATGATTTAGTAAGTGAGACATTTCGTATTAGAAATATTCATATGTAAGACCAATAATTCTGACCAAAAGATAAAAAAGGGCTATGTGAAGATTTTCATTAGTTATAGGTATACTTTTACAAAGAAGTTGAAAGGAATAGATTATGTGATTTTTAAAATGGTTTACTTGGAACCTTATCACTAGCTATGCTTTACCCATGCCCTAGCACCATGTTGAATAGAATTGAAAGTGCCCTTAGGAGTGTCCTATGGTATTTTCCCCATATATGTGAGATTCTGGGGTGCATCAGGGACCAGACCCAGGTAAAGAATTGTAGCCTGGTGCTAAAAGAAAAGAAAAAAAAGAAAACCCTAAGAACATGTCTACACAACAGTACAATTTTGGGACAGAAGGGTAAATTAGAGCAAAGTGTAGATGTTCCTTATTAAAGAACACACTACTGGGGACCAGCAGGTGGTTAAGACGCTGGACGCTCGCACATGGCTGACCACGGTTCGACTCCTGGATCTGGCAGCTTGCCTTCTCACTTTCTCTCTCTCTGTGTCTTTCTCTCTGGTCAAATTAAAATAAAATAAATGAATAAATAAAATTTAAAATAATTCTTCAAAAAGACAATAAATATGATTAAAAAAAAAAAAAAGAACACACTACTGTCCTCATAGGCCCTAACTCATGGGGTCCTTGTCATTAGTGGAATGCCACTGTAGCAGGGATAGCGCTCCCTGTCAACTTCTGTATCTGCACATATATACATACGTGTGTGTCTGTGTATATGTATGTCTATATACATGCTGAGATTCTTAGGAAATAACCTTATTTTATCTCTCATGTTCAATGATTCATGTCAGGTATCAATAATTTATTTGAACGTCTCAGTTCAAAAGAGTAAAGATACATTTTTTATTTAAAACCTGACCTTCTTGTTTTTTACACTATCATTCTGTTTCTCGATAACATTATAGATACCGTGTGTTTATTGCAAAATCCCTACATACTTACGATGCACTCAGATGGCATTGGCAATGCAGATAACTGGCTCTAGGCTAGAAAAGCAGGGACATCTGCAGTTCACAACCTTGATTGGGCTTGTGGGGTAAACTCACCCAGCAATTCACCTGACAATTCCCTTACAGGGTATTTTGTTGGTCTCAGATGATTTCCATGCTTTCTTATTTTTCTTTTTAATTTTAATTTTTATACAGCAAAACTTAAAGAATGTTTTAGCAGAGAACTTTACATTCTTTTGTCTGTCAAATGTTTCTTCTCTTTGGCCTTCCCACTCACCCTCCATCCCCACTCACACTCCACCCCCACTCACCCTTCACCAGCCATTCTCCTCCCTTACAGTCTCTGGTATCTATACTTATCCTCTCTACTATCATATCTTGGGATCTTTCCATTTCTGCCATAAAGTGCAGACATTCAGCATGTATTGAGTGGCGATATACAGTGTGTATCTTTCAAAGTCTATTTTTTTTTTTTCGAGAGAGGTTTTTGCTATAGGGCGCATGTGCTCGCCAGACAGAGAGAGACAGAGAGACAGAAAGCAAGAAGTCACCCTCCAGGGGGGATGGCCATGCCGCAATCCCTTCTCCTCCAGTCTCCTCTCGGGATCTTGGGCACGCACGCACACGCACCTGGCGTGAGTTCAAGCCACCGGGTCCGGGTCTCGAACCACGGTTGACTACGTGGAAGTCCAGTGACATAGCCATTACACTAACTGCTGGTCCCAGCTTTGGCTATGTCACTGCTGGTCCCAGCTTATGGCTATGTCACTGGACTCCCACGTAGTCGACTGCGGTTCAAGACCTGGACCCGGTGGCTTGAACTCACGCCAGGTGCGTGTGCGTGCGTGCCCAAGATCCCGAGAGGAGACTGGAGGAGAAGGGATTGCGGTGTGGCCATCCCCCCGTGGGGTGATTTCTCGCTTTCTGTCTCTCTGTCTGTCTGGCGAGCACACGTACCCTACAGCAAAAATGTCTCCAAAAATAAAAAGGTAAAAAAATAAAAATAAAAATAAAAAATAAAGAATATTTTTGCTCACAAGAATATTGTGAAAACATTTTTTAAAAAATGGACATGTTGGGGTGAGTGCATATGCTTATTAGCATATATAGATATACACTTCAGGTTTCCTACTGCTCAACTTGGTAATATCTATTAAATCAAAGCGCAGTTCTTACATATTATATAAGTATATAACTTTTTTTTTTTTTTAAAAAAAGGAAATGGCAAAAAGAAACTAAGAGCTAAGGTGAACAGGAAAGAACATTGGGCTGGAAGACTGAAGGGGTTACCTTAAAACTAGCACTGTTACCTGATAACTTTGCAACCTCTCTGGCCTCAGTGTTATCCATTAAATGGCAACAATCTTATCAGTGGCCCCTTTCAGCCCTAATATTTGGTCACCTTGGACATTCAAGAGAGTGCCACTAAATGATTGTGTAAAAACACAGAAACTTTTGCAAGGAAGAGTTTTCTGATCTTATCGTGAGAAACGCCCATATGATTGCTAGTATTTCTCTTGCTACCCAGCTGGTGCACAGAGACAGAGCACTAACGAAGACCTGGACTTGGTAAAGAAGGCCTTGCAGTGAGGCCATGACTCAGTCACCCATAGGAGCAGGCAAGTGATAAGTTTTGACATGTTGCTTTTCAGGTTGTGCATCAGAACTTAACCTGAGGTGAGGGATGATCCCCCAATTGAGAGGGAGGAACTTTAACTTGGGTTAAACCACAAAACTCATAGGTAACATTTGGCTGCAAATTGCCACAGGGGAAGTGTGGCTGTTTTGTGAGTATCGGTGAAAGTTTCATCATCACTGTAGCCAAGATAAACAGAAC